TAGCTCTTTTGTCAACTTTGGGCTGTGATTAATCGTTGTCTGATCAGTCTTATCTTCTCAATGGTCTCTTGAACCAAGTCTGGTCCTAACAAGGTTGTTTCTCCTGCTTCAGTTCAACAGACTGGTGATCGACAAGGTCGCCCATAAAGTGCTTCATACGGTGCCATTCCAATACTGGCTTGGAAACTATTGTTACAAGTAAACTCAGCTAGAGGTAAGTGTTTCTCCCAACTTCCATTAAAATCCATAACGCAAACTTGAAGCATATCCTCTAAGGTTTGTATTGTCCTTTCAGACTGCCCATCTGTTTGTGGGTGAAATGCCATACTAAAGCATAGGTTCGTTCCCATCGCTTTCTACAAGCTCTGCCAAAATTGTGAAGTGAATCGAGGATCACGATCAGACACGATGCTAACTGGTACTCTGTGTAATCTGATCACTTCTTTGATGAACAATCTACTAAGTGAGTCTAACATATCTGATGACCCGACAGGTAAGAATCGGGCTATCTTAGTTAGTCGATCCACCACTACACACACGTCATCATGTCCCTGTGGTGATCGAGGCAAACTCGTTACAAAATCCATGGTTATGTGTTCCCATTTCCACTCTAGGATTGGTAAGAGTTGAAATGTCCCTGCCGGTCTTTGGTGTTCGGCCTTTACTTGTTGACATGTTAGGCACTGAGACAAACTTTGCTACGTCCCTTTTCATTCTGCCCCACCAATATTGGCGTTTTAAGTCTTGGTACATCTTAGTACCTCCTGGATGTATTGTAAATACTGAATGATGGAATTTCTTAAATACCTTTTCCCTTAGTAAGTTGTCGCTTGGCACGAACATTCGACCTTGATAGCTCAAACTCCCATCTGTGTGAATTCCCCAACCAGGCATGGTTTCATTAGATTCCATTTGTTCCTTGATGAATGCTACCTCTTGATCATACTTTTGTGATTCTAATAGCTTCCTCAAAATTTTAGGTGTAGCAATCTGAGCACCAATGTAAGCCTTTTCATCTTGAACCTCCATTTGTACCCCAAATTCATTGAGTGTTCCAACTATACTCCATTCCCTAAGTGCTAAACTAGCAACAATCTCTCTATTCTTGCGATTTAGCGTATCTGCCACCACGTTAGCCTTGCCGGGATGATAGGAAAAGGTAAATTGATAATCTTCTAGATACTCCATCAAACGTCTCTGACGCATGTTCAGGTCCCTTTGGGTGAATAAATACTTCAAACTTTTGTGATCGGTGAATATCTCAAACTTTTTGCCATACAGGTAATGTCTCTAAATTTTGAGTGCGTGAACTATAGCTGCTAACTCCAAGTCATGAGTGGGATAATTCTTCTCATGGTTCTTTAATTGCCTTGATCCATATGCCACCACCTTGCCATTTTGCATCAATACGCACCCCAGACCTTCTTTGGAAGCATCACAATGCACATTGTACCCAACGTCATGTTCTGGTACTATGAGAATAGGGGAACTCGTCAATCTTTTCTTGAGTTCTTGGAATGAATTTTCACAAGACTCGTTCCATGCAAACTTTACCCCCTTTTGAGTCAATTGTGTTATTGGTTTGGCCAATTTTGAGAAGTCTTAAATGAACCTTCAATAGTAACCGGCCAATCCTAAGAAACTACGAATCTCAAATGTGTTCTTAGGTTGTTTCCATTCTGTCACTGCTTCTACTTTAGTTGGGTCTATTGATATTCCTTTTTCAGACACCACGTGACCCAAAAACTTTACTTCTTCTATCCAGAACTCACATTTACTAGCCTTAGCATACAGTTGGTTCTCTCTCAAAGTTTGAAGTACAATTCTCAAGTATTGCTCATGGTCTTTTTCAGATTTTGAATTTACCAAAATATTATCTATGAAAACTACCACAAATTGATCTAAGTAAGGCGTGAATATTTTGTTCATTAAGCTCATGAACATGTGCCACGACCCAAACCCACCCCTAAAAGTTTGGTATCGTAACCGGCCAGTAATCCAAGATTACCAAAGGCCTTCTTGTACAAAACATAAATAATCGGGGCTAGCGGAAGCAAAGACAAAATACCATAAGTCCAATGAGCTGTGCATCTATATGAACAAATAATTACATGCAAAAACGTTAATTTACCCACTTACATTACATAACATACAACAAAATATCTTATACAAAACATGTGCACGGGTCAAATGTGTACAACAAAAACAAAGCTTACTAACGGCCTTCCAGGCCTAGCCCCAACTCGGAGGCACCCAAAACACTTGGTAGGCTTCAAAATAGTGGCTCGGGTTAAGACTCCGCCTAGGCTTGACTTCCAGAACGCTCACCTATATATATAAATAAAAACAGTAAGCTAAAGCCCAGTGAATAACATTAACGTAAAGGGGTTAGTGAACGAATTCCAAATACAATATCTGTAAAATAAATCATATCACAATCAATCATATCAGTCTCATATCAGAACATAATGTAATGGTACATCTCACAGAACATATCACATATCGTTTTCCGACTAGAGCAATTGGTTCCGGATACCGATTAAACACATATCACCACAATGAAGTGGCTAACGAGATCTCGTATCACATATATGTCATGGACCCGCACTAATGTGCCGTCCCTCATGACTTGAGACTATCCGTGGATGCCATATTAGATTCGCAAATAGGATATTCGTTCACATAATCAAGATAGCACTTCGAGAAAACATAGCTTATCAATAACAGTTAAAACATAATTTATATCAACATATCTTTACAGAAATGTTACTTACAGTGGGCTTCCAAAATTGGTTATCAGTAATCAATGCACAACTTAAGTGTCCCATTTTTCTTTTTAGCAAATAAGGCTGGTGCTCCACACGGGGACGTGCTTGGCCTTATAAATTCCTTGTCTAATAATTCTTGCAAATGTGTCTCAAGCTCTCTCAATTCAGCTGGTGCTATACGATGTGGTGCCATTGAGATCGGTGATGTATCAGGTTGTAGTTCAATGATAAAGTCTATTTCTCGCTTTGGGGGTAGTCCTGGTAATTCCTCTAGGAATACATCAGTATACTCGCACACTACACTAGGTAACCCTAGTTCCATACGATCTTTATCTTCCAGAACTAAGCTGGCTAGCCACCCAGCCAGGTGATCGTGCCACTTTGATTTTCGAAGTGTCGATGATAAAGAATCTTGTCTATCTCCCTTAAATTGGAATCGTATTCCATCTTAAGAGTAAGCAGTTACCGTCTTTTCATAACAATCAATGGTGGCTCTATGGGCTGATAACCAGACCATTCCTAGGATAACGTTAAAGTTTGACATTTTCATGACTCGTAGGTCGTAAGTTAAACGCAAATTAGAGACTTCTAGTTCACATGATTTGCATACGAGATCTACTCGAGTTTGACCTCCTAGCGGTAAAGCTACACTCATATGTGTTTCTAATCGTTCAGGCTCTAATCCCAAAGTTGTAACACATGTAGCAGATATGAAAGAGTGTGATGCTCCAGAATCAAACAAGACTTGTACACAAGAGTTCATAAGGATGAGTATACCTTGAATCACTGAAGGATTTCCATTGTCTTCTCCTTCTTGGAGTGCAAAGACTCTCCCGGTGGCACCCTGATTTGGCACCCAAGGTTTCCTTGCATTGACATCTCCTAGTTATTAAGTCCTCGATTGTCCCACATTCTGATTAGCTGGCGGCTGACCTCTGTCGGATTGGGAATTTTGCACAGCTCGTGTTCCTTGAGTTAGCGCACATTTGTTTCATTGAGTGGCTCCTCCTTGATTGATGTAGTAGCCTGACCTTTGAGGACAGTTGTTCCTGAATTGCCCTTCTTGGCCACACTCATAGTACCTTTTAGCCCCTTCCCTATTATGCTGCTCAAGATTGTACCCTTGCTGTTGTTGTGGCCCCCCAAAGTAAGGTACCGAAGCGGTAGGGGTCCTATTGTTCCTTGAGGGTCCTCCGCTTCTTTGCTGGTTGGGTCTAGACTGCTGACCTTGGGTCCTTGCAGTGTCAATCTTCTCTCTTTCTAGAGTAAGAGCCCTATCTACTACCTGTGCATAAGTAGGTAGCTGCATTGCAACCAACTTGTCTCGGATTCCTGAATTACGTCCCCACTCAAAGCGTCTTACTTTGTCTGTTTCGTTTGCCATTATAGTTGTGGCATGGCGAGAAAGGGCCTCAAATCGATTGGCATTCTGTGTCACAGTCATGCCTCCTTGTTTCAGTTGGAGAAATTATTGGATCATTTCTTGCCTCACTGAGTTTGGGAAGTACTTTTCCATAAACAACTCCTCGAACTGTCTCCAAGATAGTTCTGCCACTTTATGGTTTTCCTTAATCATTGTCCACCAGAAATCGGCCTTCTCATCGAAGAGACATGAAACAAGAGATACTTGGTTCTGCTCGTTCTGAATCTCTAGCGTCTCCAATATTTTCTTCACTTGCCTTATCCATGCCTCAGCCATGTAGGGATTGGGTTCTCCAAAAAAATTTTGGGGCCTGAGTTTTTGAAATTTTGCTATTAATTCTACTTTGTTGTTTTCACGCCTGGGTTGGTTTCTTAGTTCATTAGTAATTGCTCGAACGAAATTCATGATGTCACTGTTGTTGTTGTTGTTGTTGTTGTTGTCATTGTTATTGTTATCATTGGATCCATTTGCCATAGTTCTTTTTGTTATTTTTTGTCCGAAGGATATTGTTGTTACACCCTTTCACTACTGCAAAAATGCTTAAAGATCACACTTAAGAAAATTAATACATGACAAATTTAATGAAAGTGTGATTAACAAAATCAAATTAATATTTTAATCACACCTAACTTAATTGAGTGTGATAGTATTTATTTTTTATATCACTTTTCAATTAAATGTGATTATATCTCTTTTTTTTTCATCACACCTTTTAATTAACGTATGATTATATATATATTTTAAATTTTTTTTTGTATCTAACTCTCTGACGCACTGATTATCTAACTCTCCCACGCCTGTCTGTCTCTTCGTGTGACTCTCTCTCTCTCTCTCTTTCCCCCCCTCTCTTTCTCTCTCTTACCTCTACTCTCCTCCTTTCGTGCCATCTCTCTCGTTTTGTCTCCATCGCCTTCGGGTACTGGAGCATCGTAGCCATCGCACATAAGCACCACCGTCGCACATGAGTACCACAGTTGATCCACCGTTAGAGCATTACTCCATGTATGTCCTCTCTAGTTTGCCCTCTATTTGTCTCTCTTCCCTTAATTTCATCCTCTAGGGTTTTCGATAATGTTGCTATTTGGATAAAGAGAAAGAAACAGAGAGGACAGAGAGAGAAAGAGAGAGGCTAGCAGAGAGCAGAAGACGAAACGACAATGGCTTCTTTGATCAATAGGTCTTTGACTTTTATTTACAACTCCAAATCAACGATGTGCATCGAAACTCAATTTTCGAGTCCGTTTCACATTGGGTTCATTTCTCTGAGCCTCATCAATTTCGGGAAGGTCTCTTCTTTAGTAGTCTGCAAAGTTGTGTCTGTGAAGCCCCAAACTGACATTGAAGGCCTCAACATTGCCGATGATGTCTCTTAGGTGAGTCAATCAATTCTTTTTTGCTGAAATTCGCAAGAGTTGTGAAGTGGGTACTTGTTATTCCTTAGAGTTTTGACTTTGAACCGGAAAGTTTTTCAAATTGATGATGTGTTAATTTAAATTCAATAAAGCCATTGAAGAATTAATGGGAATTATGATGTGGATTGCTTTTATTTTCTATTTTGGAATTTTGATTGTGAAAGGACTAGTTTTGAATTTTTTTTGTAATTGCTTAGAAGTTAGAATAGTGTTTTACTTTAGATTTTGGTGTTTTATTGAAAAATTAATGGAAATCAGAATAGGGGTTTGCTTTCATTTATTTTTTTATTTTTACTTGGAAAAATGATTGTGATTGTGAATTGGCTATCTTATCAAATTTTAGATTGTTTTGAATGGTTTCAGTACTGTTGATATGCTAGTCAGGTAAAAAAAGTTAGTATTGTTTAGAATATATTATGGAAATTGGGAGTTTGGTTAAAAAAAAAATTTTCTTTTGAAATTTCAATTTAAAAGTGTGGGTTTGAAAAACTGTACTGCTTCGATGAAAAAATTTGATGGATGTTTTATGATTCTGCAACTATTGTGGGTACTTCTTAATTTTAGATAAGGTGAACTATGCCAATAATGATGATGAAATCTATGGTCTAGAAATCTATAGTTTGCTAGAAAGCAAAGAACTGTCTTCTGATGTATAAAATTTGGGTATTTTGCTTTATTGTCTTCATAAGTTCAACAGTAATCTCATTTATCATGGCAATGTTTGAGGTTCAATTAATAAATGAAAATATGAATTAGGATACTAGTTGCAAATCTGAACTGATGAGCAAAATATATATCTTCTTTTCTTGGAAGAAGAGATTAATGGAATTTAATGATTCGATGAATTTTGTACATTCCTGGATAAGGTCATCTTTTATGCTCATGGCTATTATTGTGCTTCAAGGAATTGTGATTGTTTTGTACTGAGTTTATGTTTACAAGAATTTTATAAAATCAACTTTTGTTTAGAATGACTCATGGGAAGCATGACATAGGTTTATAGTGCAAAATCCCATCGTAATTGGGCTAATATTAAAGCTTTATGATACAAAGCTTGCGAATGTTCTTTTTGAATGTTGTATCAACTTGCATTGGGATACTGCATGTAGTTTTTTCCTCTCTTTTTTTTTTTTTTTCAGTAAGAGATTTATGGATGTTATGTTTATAATTACTATTGCAGTGAATTATTTTTCTTTGATTGGTTGCTAGGTGACAGCTTATTGGGAAAACTCCAATGGTGTATTTGAATAATACTGTAAAGGGGTCTGTTGCAAACATAGCTGCCAAGCTTGAGATCATGAAGCCATGTTGCAGTGTCAAGGACAGGTATGACATACAAATTTTTGGTTTGTGTTCCAAACATCTATGAAAGTTTAAAAGCTTGTGTTCATATCTTGTATGCTTCTATAAAAGATCTTTATTGAAAATAGCCATGTAATCAGTGATTTGGACCCCAATTTTGAATTTGTTATATATACCAGAGAAGGCATTATGTTATTTGGGTCATTATCATCTGATCATGGTTGTTTTTAACATAACTGCCAGTCTAGTACAATTTTAAATCCTACCCACAAGAAAAATTATAAAACCATATAATGAACTAAGTCTCAAAATCATAATGCTTCTTGGGTAGAGGTACATAATCATAGAATTGTACATTTTCCCTGTTGCTTTGTGTTTGCTTTCTTGCTTTTAGGTTCTGCATAATGCTTCTCTAGTGTGGAGCAGATCTTGATGTTTGATTTTGAATGCTGTGCAAAAAACAAAAAAGAGTTGGTTTAAGACTTGGATGCATTTGTTTAGTATTCAATTCTTTTTTGGTTTCAGGATTGGACACAGTATGATAATCGATGCTGAGCAGAGAGGCCTTATAACACCAGGGAAGGTAACATAACCATGAATAATTCAACTGATAGAATTATAATATATAATGCAATTAATAGAATTATAATGTATTACATTGGAACTGTAATATTTTTTTGGGTGTGATTGAAATAGGATTTTGGCTACTCATTTTTATTTGGTAGAGTTCCTTATTTGAGATCCTTGAGAAAAGGTTGCTCAAGCAAAATAATTGTAACAACCCTCATACTAAAACCTTCCATATTAATTCATTTTTATTTGGCAGGATTTCACAGCAATCGTTAAGAGTATAATTACTGAGTTTGGAAATGAACAATTGTCTGTACTTATTATGACCTGTCAAGATAGTATTATGAGACACTATATTTTTTAGGTTTGGGTCGTGACAATAATTCATGTACTCTGAATTAGAAAACCTTCCATATTAATTCATTTTTATTTGGCAGGATTTCACAGCAATCGTTAAGAGTATAATTACTGAGTTTGGAAATGAACAATTGTCTGTACTTATTATGACCTGTCAAGATAGTATTATGAGACACTATATTTTTTAGGTTGGATTATACTTGGTTTGTAAGGAATTTCTATTAAGCTTATACTTGTGACTTGTTCAATTGTAGGTACCATTGGATATTGTTAGTCATTGATCTATTAAGCACCTACTTTGGTGTCTTGAAATTTTCTTTCTCTTTATGCCAAGTGTCAAATTTTCTATTCACAAAAAGGAAAAAAAAAAAAATACAAAACAAATAGAAAAGAGGGTGTGACTTGAACTTAAGACCACAAATTTGATAAACAAGGCTCTTACCATTTGAATTGCATACAACATATATCAAATTTTTTGTTTATTTATTTAACTTGCACAAGCATTATGTGTGCCAACCACTATATATATATATAATATAACCCTGTTTGTCCACTTCATTCCAGACTCTGCTTGATCCCTTCATGCAGAGATAGACACATCTTCTCTTCTTTTTTTTTTTTCTTTTTTTTTGTGGTGTGTAGAGTATTCACTTTTCACTTGGTACGTTCTATCTATCAATGTCTTTGTTTGTTTGTGTATAATATATGCATTATGTTTGCGTATATGTTTGTGTTATGGGTTTTGATTTGTGGCCTCTCGTTTGATTTGTAGACAAGAGAGCTGTGGGTTTTTTTGATTTTCTTCTACAATGGGGTGATCAGTGTTACTCCTTTCAATTTTTGTTGCTGTGGCTTTGTTAAGTGTTTTTGTTGTGAAAGCAGAGAATGCTTATAGATACTTCACATGGACTGTCACTTATGGAACAGCTTCTCCTCTCGCTGTCGCTCAACAGGTTTAGTTATATATACTGCATGCATTTTGGTTTTTTCAATAACTGATGATGAATTGCAGTTTAGTTTTTAGATTTCTTAAATTTTTTAATGTTTGATTTTGAAGGTTATCCTTATCAATGGTCAATTTTTTTAACTCGACAACCCTTTTCTCTTGACATGGCAAGTCTCTCTCTCTCTCTCTCTCTCTCTCTCTCTCTCGTTCACTATCTTGGACCATCTTTTAGTTTCAAACTTGTTTTTGGCATAAGTTTATGTATTACTGAAATTTTAAATTCCTTGATTTGGACATATTTGATCTTCAAACTTTAGGGGAAGTCAACATGATTCCTTGCCTAACCTTAAATATTTGTTTTTTTTTAAACATTTTGGCTAATTGAATAAATTGCCTGAACATTTCTATCCCGATGCTTATTAATTTGGCAAGCTTACAAGTTATGCTTCATCCAATGTGTATCATGTTCAATGGATAATGAAGGGTAGCATGATTTGGAAATGTGTATAAGAGCATAGAAATAGCCCACTAATCAATTGGGTTAGCCCATTAAGCTCTGTACCTCATTAGGAGGTCAAGGGTTCATGTCGTCCCCCCTCTCCCAAGCTACAATATTCGACATAATAAAATAAAACAAGAATATCAATAGGTTCATTACAGTGGTTCATGATCCTAAATTTTTTCAAATGAATGTGACCTTCATCAATATTTTCCCTCGAGCCAAAATGGATTTGGTTTGAGGATACCATTAAGTTGTTATATATGTTGCTTTTCTTTTTTGAATGCAAAAAATGTTAAATTTTGAGCAAAGAGTGTTGTTAACATTGCATACATACCTAATTTAATGTTCTTTTTGTGCAATTTTTGTTAATTTACATGGCATCTGCAATAGAACATGGTCTAATAGCACTAATTTTTCACTTCTAGGAATGGAATTAAGGAGAGGAAGAATTTCTGGCAAAATGGAGTGTTGGGCACTAATTGCCCTATCCCTCCAAACTCAAGCTTCACTTACAAGTACCAAACCAGAGATCAGATTAGAACCTTCACATACTTTCCATCAACTCTAATGCACAAAGCTGCTGAGGAGGACCAATCCAGTTTGGAAAGTCGTTTAGGTAATCAATATCATTTTCTCTAATTTTATCATACTTATATTTATGTCAATGGTTGTTCAACTTGATCATAACACTTTATATGTCGTTTCTAATAATAACGAAAATGCTTTCATGTAGTCCCCGTAACAACCCACAAACGTGGAATGTGAGTTTTATGTAATGAGGTATATGAATGACCTCATTAGAGATAAAAGCCTCCTAAGAAAATAAAGTGTGAAATAAATTTTAACTTTTATTACTATATTATATTCATGATACTTGTACATCATTTTCATTATCTTATTGTTTCTAAATAACCTCTTGCAATTTAAAGGAAAAAAGACTTACACGGAAACTGAATTTGATGAAGTGTGAGTTGAATGGATTAATTTCGTCCTAGGGAATATGAGTTGAAATCCAACATGTAAGTATCATATAACTTTCGTTCTTTAAATTACTAATAAATAATTTCTTTAGTTGGTGAGGGATACACAATCACTTCAAGATTTCATTGAACACTACTACATGTTGGAAATGGTTATAAAATTCTGGGTAAAACCAGAATTTTTTCCTAAGTTTGGTCTATTTTTTAGGTGGGCCCCATGCGTTGATTTTCACGGGTCTAAGTGGTAACGCGTTCTATGCCGCGTTGTGATTCACATGGTATATTTGGTTGCTCAAAACCATTACCGAGTGAATGGAAAATTGAAGCCAAAGTATGCTCCATGGAAATGGAGTTTTGGTGGAAAATCCTTAAAGTTTTGAATAAGGCTTGTCCCACATTGATTTGGTGGGAAGTTTGAATGGGTTTATAAGGTATGGGTTTGGTACTTGGGGTGTGCCCCAAGGGGTACCCAAGTGTTTTAGAGGGAGAGGTTATGGGCAAAATGGGCTAGACCCATTGGACTCAAAAATCACCCTGCGCGCCGCCGTCCGTCCGTCCGGTCGGGCGGGTTGGGCTTGGGCTTGGGCGCGTGGTGTGAGGTTGGGTTGGGCTTGTTCAGCCCAATACTAATCTTTTTGGGCCAAAAATATTTCATAAAATCCAGAATTCAAATTAAACCGGCGCCAGAAATAAATTGGTCTAGTTTTACTGTACATCCAAACAGGGCCCTTCCCGTTTTTATCTGTTTGAATACAGATTCAAATCTGTTTAAATTCAAAACCATACCTGTTCAAATAGGTTTGCACCTATTTAATTCAAAATCTGCAGCCACCAATCCATCTATAAATAGGACAGCCCTCATTTGGATTTTGGAACTCTAATTTTCGTCCTTCATAATTCTGCAAACATTCTCTTCATATTGTTGCATTATTTTCTTCTGTGAGAGAGTATAAACACTTAGTGTGTTCGTTAGGCAAACAATTTGTAGTACTGCTATTGTTTGTAGTAGGTCATTTTATCCTGGGAGATAGATGTCCATATTCTGAAAGCACCATGGAGAGGACGAATCTGTCTTAAGGACACAGTGTCAAACACTGTACTTGATTAGATAATTATTCAAAGAAATTAATCAAGTAAGTTGTTTAATTTATTATTTTGTTTTTATTTGTTTATATAATCAGATTTTAATTTTGTTTTTGTAACAAAATAAAATCTATTTTTATTATTATTTTTTTTATTTCGAGTTTGATTTTTGTAATCAAACAAAATTCTCTCATTTCTTTTATTTCTTTATATTTTGATTGTTGTTTAGTACACAACAGAATTTAATTTATTTAAATACAGTGAAGATTGTCCAACAATCTTAAGACAAATTCGTCCTTTTTGGTATCTTTCTTGTATTTAATTTTCGGTGATTTCATAAAGACATATTCTAGTTGGAAAAACAAATAGTGATTTATGCTATTTGACAGATAGTAGTAATATATTGTCTCTTTTCTTTGACAACTAGTAGTAATATACTGGTGTCATTAACAATTGCAGAATATTAATTTGTGTTACAGAAAATTATTGTGGTATTTTATTTTTCTAGTTTTAGTAACAAGAAAAATAAAATTATTTTGTATTTTAATTTATTTTCTGGTTTTGGTAACTAGAAAATTAATTTGTGGTGTGTTTTTCTGATTTTTGTAATCAAATATTATTGTGGCATTTTATTTTCTAGTTTTAGTAACAAAGAAAATAAAATTATATTATTTTCTAGTTTTAGTAACAAGAAAAATAAAATTATTTTGTGTTATAATTTATTTTCTGATTTTAGTAATTAAAAAATTAATTTTGTTAATCAATCATGTAACTTTGTGTTTCGGTTACAATCTGTAAATTTTGTACGTGACTTACGGTTTTTGTTTGAAAGGTCACTTAAACCCTTTGTGAAAAGGTGTTAGGACTTGGAAGTATTTGATTTTGGAGTTAAATATTAGTTTTACAAACTAATTTCATTTTTATTATGAAAAAACCTTTATGACAAGTTTATTTTCTTTATTGGTTTACTGATTTATTCTTTAAATCTGTGAATAGTTTCTGCACATGAGTGGGAAAATATATATATATTCACAAGAACATCTCAATGTATATTTAATTAGTTTATTTATGGACTAATCAAACTGATTAAATGAAGATATGTTTTGTCATTTGTTTTAAAAGTTTAAAATTTAAAACGCGTTGAATTTTATTTATGAGTTTTTTATCTCATGATGAAAGTTAAGGGATCATGTATGATTAATTTATTTTGTTAATTCGTTATTTTTTAGTTGATGCGTTTGATATGCATGTATTGATATCAACTCAAGTTATTTCTTTAAAAATAATGTCATGTGAGTTGGAATGATAAATTGTTATGTTGACTTTGGACATAAGCAGATTAATTTGAATATTTCTAATCAATTTTGAATGGGTGTTTAAACACCAGAGGATTTTAAACATGGAGAAGTATGTAGTTATATCGTTCCATTTAATTAGAAGTAAATTTAAGAAATATTTTATTATTAGTTTGTTTTAAATTTGTGACATGAGCTGCCATTAATTATTATTTTACTTGCGTTGTAGAATTTGTTAAACCATAAAACATTCTTTTAATATGGAAGTGTATCTCTTGCATTAGAAAAGATAATTTAGTTTTTTTTTTATCACAAATATTTTTTGTGATAGTGTTACTTATTCGTTAATGAGTTGCAAGAAGTTATACAATCAAATAAGATTTTTGATTTGTTCGTTTCTTAGGCAAAATTTTGATGAGGATATGATTTTGTCAAAATATTAATTCTGATTTGTGTAGTCATAATTATTGTGGATTTTTCATTTGAAATTTATGAATCATGATTTGAAATTTATGAATCAAGCACATAATAGACAACAAGTGATGGATGTTATATGTTGATTTATATTTGAAGTAATAAGGGTGGTGAATATGATGCACCATTAAATAAATGTTGTGCACAACATGACATTATTCACCAAACTACAGCCCCTTATTCTCCACAGCAAAATGGAATTGCTGTAAGAAAGAATAGAACCCTAAAAGAAGTAATGAATGCCATGTTACTAAGTTTAGGTTTACCACAGAACTTGTGGGGGAAAGCAATATTGTCTGCTAATTATGTTCACCCCATAAGAAAACCAACAGCACTCCTTATGAATTGTGGAAAGGTCGACCGCTTTCCTACAAATACTTAAAAGTGTGGGGTGTTTGGCAAAAGTTGAAGTTCCTATTCCTAAAAAGACTAAGATTGGACCAAAAACAGTAGATTGTGTGTTTATTGGTTATGCTCAGAATAGTAGTGCATATCGGTTTCTAACTTATAAATTAGAAATACCTGATATAAATGTGAACACTATTATAAAGTCAAGGAATGCTGTGTTTTTTGAACATGTCGTTTCTTACAAGAAAGGATAGGAATTAAATTCACAGAAAAGAACTTATTATTGTACACAAAGTCAAGAGATTAATGACAATCAAACATAAGAGACTAGTAATGGTCTCGACCAACATGATTTAACTGATGATGAACCAAGACGAAGTAAGAGAGCGAGAACATCAAAATCCTTTGGTCCAGATTTTCTGACATACCTGTTAGAAAATGAACCTCAAAGCTTTAAGGCAACAATGATAGGTCCTGAAGCACCCTTGT